CACTTGGCTATCAGCCAATAGGGAGTATCAGCCAATCACCTGACTATCAGCCAATAGTGAATACCAGCCAATCACTTGGCTATCAGCCAATAGGGAATACCAGCCAATCACTTGGCTATCAGCCAATAGTGAATACCAGCCAATCACTTGGCTATCAGCCAATAGGGAGTATCAGCCAATCACCTGACTATCAGCCAATAGTGAATACCAGCCAATCACTTGGCTATCAGCCAATAGGGAATACCAGCCAATCACTTGGCTATCAGCCAATAGTGAATACCAGCCAATCACTTGGCTATCAGCCAATAGGGAGTATCAGCCAATCACCTGACTATCAGCCAATAGTGAATACCAGCCAATCACTTGGCTATCAGCCAATAGGGAATACCAGCCAATCACTTGGCTATCAGCCAATAGGGAATACCAGCCAATCACTTGGCTATCAGCCAATAGGGAATACCAGCCAATCACTTGGCTATCAGCCAATAGTGAATACCAGCCAATCACTTGGCTATCAGCCAATAGGGAGTATCAGCCAATCACCTGGCTATCAGCCAATAGGGAATACCAGCCAATCACTTGGCTATCAGCCAATGGTAAATACCAGCCAATCACTTGGCTATCAGCCAATAGGGAGTATCAGCCAATCACCTGACTATCAGCCAATAGTGAATACCAGCCAATCACTTGGCTATCAGCCAATAGGGAGTATCAGCCAATCACCTGACTATCAGCCAATAGTGAATACCAGCCAATCACTTGGCTATCAGCCAGTAGGGAATATTGGCCAATCACTTGGCTATTTACACAACAATGAATCCCCACAGCACCCTATTGAATAAAGGTCTATGTGTGAGGCAAATACCTCAAACATCATGTCTAGACCCTGCTCGGAATACAATACGCTGCTGTGTTCGATTCATTATTATAGTTATAAATCACCTCTATCAGAATTAAACAAATTTAGTGAAATTTGGGGTGCTTTTGTTAAAAAAGCCCTAATCCTGATACCAGGCAATAGTGTGTTCCAGCCAATCACCTGTATATCAGTCAAAAGATGCAAACCAGTCAGCTGGTTATCAGCCAACAGCAAACACTAGTCAATCACTGGGCCATTAGCTAATACCAGCCAATCACCTGGCTATCAGTGAATACCAGCTAATCACCTGGCTATCAGTGAATACCAGCCAATCACCTGGCTATCAGTGAATACCAGCTAATCACCTGGCTATCAGTGAATACCAGCCAATCACCTGGCCATCAGTGAATACCAGCTAATCACCTGGCTATCAGTGAATACCAGCCAATCACCTGGCCATCAGTGAATACCAGCCAATCACCTGGCCATCAGTGAATACCAGCCAATCACCTGGCTATCAGTGAATACCAGCCAATCACCTGACCATCAGTGAATACCAGCCAATCACCTGACCATCAGTGAATACCAGCCAATCACCTGGCTATCAGTGAATACCAGCCAATCACCTGACCATCAGTGAATACCAGCCAATCACCTGGCTATCAGTGAATACCAGCCAATCACCTGGCTGTTATTGTATGAGGTCTTATTCAATCATCTGGTTATCTGCCAATTCAAGTTGTATATTTAATTTTTATAGACAATTAAAACTAACGTATACATGAACTTCATTTGTCCTATTAACCAATTCTAATCTTTCCATTTTCTCAGAGCCACCCAATGTGAACCAATTACATATCGTACTAAATTTGTGACTAAATGTGACTCTCGTTTGTAATTCCTTTTGTGTTGCATTATGGGTATGTCTTAATGTTATCCAGAAGTCCATGCATTGTGATGTAATTCTGCCATTTTGTTTTGCCTCCATTTTGCATTGTGTGTGTTATGATGTATGTGTATTGTTTCCTATCCTACCTGCCATCCAGCCTTGATCTCAGTCAAAACAAAATTATCTACAAATAAACAACATTTTATATAAAATTGCGTACAGAGTGTTCACGAGGACATCATCAGATTTGGACAATGTGGTATTATACTTACTTTGAATTGTATTTATTCTATCTATTTTTTTATGTATATAATATACATCGTAGGTTCACTAGTGTTAGAGATTGACATGTAAATATATAAAAAAATGGACTCATCAATGTACACCATAGGTTTACTAGTGCCCCAGTTAAAAATTGACTTGTAAAAAATATTCACTACAGGTTTCCTAGTGTTTGAGTTAGAAAAATGTACTTGCTGATATACTCCTTAGGTACCAGTGTTCCAGAAAGATGTCCGATGACTCGAGTCTTTTAGGTAGAAATGGACTTGGCAATGTACACGTAGGTTTAATAGTGCTCCAGTTAAAAATTGACTTGTAAAAAATATTCACCACAGGTTTACTAGTGTTCTAGTTAGAGATAGACTTGTAAAAAATATTCACCACAGGTTTACTACTGTTCTAGTTAGAGGATAGACTTGTAAAAAATATTCACCACAGGTTTACTACTGTTCTAGTTAGAGATAGACTTGTAAAAAATATTCACCACAGGTTTACCACTGTTCTAGTTAAAAATGGATTTGCCAATATACTCCATAGGTGTACCAGTGTTCCAGAAAGATGTCTGATGACTTGTCAAATGTACACATAGGTTTACTAGTTTACTAGTGTTCCAGTTAGAGACTTATTATGACTTGTAAAAAATATCCACTACATTTTCACTCATGTTCGAGTTCGAAATTGCCGATATACTCCATAGATTAACCAGTGTTCCAGAAAGATGTTCTTGTCTGTATACATCATAGTGTTCTAGTTAGAGATAGACTTGTCAATATATATAATAAATTTATCAGTATTTAGATACACAGTATTTTAGATATTTTACACACTGATTTCTAAACTGACTCGATATTTACATACCCTGCTGTGATATCCTTGCCTGTAATGACATTGCCTGCTTTACATTCTGCATGTTTTGTTTGAATTAGGTATCCCCTGACTCCTCCTCCACTAAGTCCAGATGAACGGATAGCCCAAGCTCTGGCAGCTGAGGGCGACATAGTCTCGTAAGCGGCATGAATAACAATTTAAATATTTCTCATCAGAGTTCTCATCAGTTTTAAAAACTACCACCTCATATTTAATATGAATTCACTACTTTACTAAAAAAAAAATCCAGATAAACTTTCTCTTAATTTTTGTCAATCTTAATAAGATTTTGTTTTCACAGTTATGTTTATAACTTTTCTGTGGGAATATACTAGTACAATGTAATACTATTTACTGTTTTATGTATTCTTATACTTAATGCATGTTCACTTTCTATCTTCTATCTTATAAAATATAACAGCCCATGAAATTCCTGAAATTGTGTGGCTACCAAGCCCCTGTTTTCACCTTCTCAAATATGTACAAATATATGTGTGTACTTCTATGGGCAGTATTGCTTTTAATACTGAAACTTGAACATCCAGCCCACCATATTGCATCATTAGAAATCCACTGAAAATTTAGCAATGCAAATTTCTCATCCAGGTCACGTTTGCAGGCCACCATACACTGAATAAACATTTATATGACAATTGTATTAAAGTCTTAATTTGCATGATTTCTAGCACCACTTGCCACATTTTAGCATGCAGGTGCATTCCAGGTAAATCACCATATTTTCACATAGCCACATAATTTCAAATAACTATCAATTCTTGTTATTAATTTCTCTGCTGACAGTGTTGTTGATTCATAATATCTCACTTAGTCTTTTTTTGTTGCTTTCCTTTCTATTTCTAGTTCTGGTGGTGTGAAAGTTTCTTTCCAACCATCTGACACTAGGAGACACGCCCATAGGTAACTTTTCACACATACTCTTGCAGTTCTGACCAATCATAAAGGTCCTTCCAGGCCACTGTATTTTTTAACAGCCCTCTGTGATTTACCTGGCACTTCTGGGCTACCATACCGCTTTTGGTAAAAGCACAATGGCTTTTACGCAAAGTGAAAACTTGAATTAATATGTGCCAAAAATTTGTTAATTCACAATTTTTCCAATTAATCTTTATTAACCTACTAGTATCTTAAGTCAAAAAAAAAATGTACAAACAAGCAGTACCAGTATTGCTTACCAAAATGTATGTGCAGTATTCTTTAGACACTTGCTTTCAACTTGACTTTCGGCATGTAGATATAAAATTCAAAATGAAGCAGCCTTTTCCATAATACTGACAGAAGAGAACAGAAAGATGCACATTTAATAATTTTTTTTTTTGTGAATGTTGTGTTTCGTGTGATTTTAGAAAATTCACTTATTAACATTTAATGTATTTGTGATTTAATTTGCATATCAGATTAGAATTTTTTGATCAAGACCTGCAGAAAATGTGAAATTTTAATAAATTTGACTCAAAATTACCGGTAACAAAAGGTATTATTCACAACTACTTAAAAACACGCAAAATCAAAATTTTAGCAGGAAACATTAAGAGAATAATATCACGATTGCCTTGGAGGGACTGATTTGTTTTGTTTTTTAGTAAAATAATTCAAAATTGGATCAAAAACTATTTCAGAACTGCAAGGGTCCCTTCAATTAACAAATTTCTCAAATTATTTTTAGGAACTTCCTGCATTAAAGGGTCAAGGGGCACGACCTTTGATAATGTAGCTCTCTTATTTATTGACAATTTTTAATTCCAAATCATGATTGTTTGAGTGTGTTTTGATGTCACATATCCATATGCGTAGAGCAATACTGGTACTGATCATCCAATCTAAAGGTCTACTTTTTTTTTTTCAAGTCTTCTTTTCTAGGTGTTTTGCATAATGCATTTTCTCCACCAATGGTTATTTTTTTGACTGTTAGTTTGTTTGTTTGTCATGTACATTTATTTCCTCATTATAAACATTCAGTTTTTCTGGAAATCATCATTGCAGGCTACTTTATCATAATAACCGATCTTCTTTCAGCATTACGCACTTAAAGTCATCAGATTTTGATTGTTCACAGTTTTTAACATTTTCCTGTCTCAATTTAATGACCCACGATAATATCATTTGGTCAGGTTCAGGGTAGATCATAAGGACAAGTTCAGGGTGGGCCAAGGGAAATATCATAATAACCATTTCAGGGTGGGCCAAGGGCAATATCATAATGACCATTTCAGGGTGGGCCAAGGGCAATATCATAAGAGCAGGTTGCACTCATGGTGTCTGGCTATTTTATTTTCACTAAAATTGTGATGCATGTAAATTCATTTGCGCTACACTTCTTGCTATAACATTTCATATTGCCATATTGTTATCACACCACACTTTTATGTCACTGTTGTGTTTTGTTCATTATTGTGTATATTTCTTGCTTTCTACAAAAAGATGGAAATTTCATATTGTGTTTTTGTGATTTCAGCGGGAAGCCATTATCGGCTCCAAATCAATATGCTGCTGCAGCTAGAGGCCCCATGGGACCATCAAGTGAGTAGAGGTCCCCTAGGACCATCATATAAACATAGCCCTCTAAAACCATCAAGTAGGTAGAGGGCTCCCTAGGACCATCAAATAATTATACTCCCCCCCTAGAAATATCAAGTAAGTAGAGGGCTCCCTGGGACCATCAAGTAAGTAGAGGTCCCCTAGGACCATCAAATAATTATACCCCCCCCCTAGAAATATCAAGTAAGTAGAGGGCTCCCTGGGACCATCAAGTGAGTAGAGGGCTCCCTAGGACATCATATAAACATAGCCCTCTAAAACCATCAAGTAAGTAGAGGTCCCCTAGGACCATCAAATAATTATACCCCCCCCTAGAAATATCAAGTAAGTAGAGGGCTCCCTGGGACCATCAAGTAAGTAGAGGGCTCCCTAGGACCATCATATAAACATAGCCCTCTAAAACCATCAAGTAAGTAGAGGGCTCCCTAGGACCATCATATAAACATAGCCCTCTAAAACCATCAAGTAAGTAGAGGGCTCCCTAGGACCATCATATAAACATAGCCCTCTAAAACCATCAAGTAAGTAGAGGGCTCCCTAGGACCATCAAATAATTATACCCCCCCCCTAGAAATATCAAGTAAGTAGAGGGCTCCCCTAAAACCATCAAGTAAGTAGAGGGCTCCCTAGGACCATCAAATAATTATACCCCCCCCCTAGAAATATCAAGTAAGTAGAGGGCTCCCCTAAAACCATCAAGTAAGTAGAGGGCTCCCTAGGACCATCAAATAATTATACCCCCCTAGAAATATCAAGTAAGTAGAGGCCCCCTCAGACCATCATATAAATATACCCCCCCTAGCATTATCAAGTAAGTAGAGGCCCCCTCGGGCCATCATAT